TATTAAGACCGTTTACCATTTCCAGCAATGCGCCTTGAGTGCAGGAATGGTGTCACCTAGGTAGGGACGATGCTTGCGCTTGCGCAGGCCTCCGCCCTCGGTTAGCTTTTTGGTTGGTTGGTTGGTTGGCCTATTGGCATATTCATCGCCCTGATGACGGAGGCAGTATGACCTCTGAAACGTTGGTTAACATCGACCAGACTACACAGCGCAATAACCCAGAAGACAGAAATCTTTAATTTTTTATCACTAATTTCATGTGGCAAATGTTTCTAGGAAGATATAAATTTCTGATTGTTAAAATAATTCTGTTAGTTAGGAATTGTATTGTGTATTTGTTATATTTAAATATTGTAAAACATTTTTCAGTATCTTCAATGCAGAAAATGGTTAATCAGCTGGGTACTCCACAGGACTCACAAGAGCTTCGAAATCAATTGTAAGTTATAACCTGGTTGGTGTAATCTTACCAGCAACTAGAGGAAAGTCTCATTTATGTTTAGAGAGTAAGAAGTATATATTTATTTGGCAGTGTGGCTGTAGTATCCTGACAGTGAAATGCAGTTAATCTTCTTCTTCCTTTCCAGTATAGGCCTTATGGCATGTTCTGGACATTACATAACAGAATCCTTCCATCTTTTGAGAGGTCAGCCCAAGTAATAAAATAATGAATATCCCAGTGTAACCCATTCAAACCTGTTAGAATCTGTCCAAAGAAAAGATTATAGATTATTAGCTGAATGGCACAAAACCATTTCATGAATAAATCTTGCTCTGCATAATTTTAACTAGTAAGGAAAAATATGCATAGCATATCAGTTCTGGCCCATTCACCATAATTTGTTTTCTGTGAATGGTGCTAGTGACATCAGAAATATCCAGTTGGCTGGGGATTTCTCAAATAACTGTGGTAACTCGGGTGTCCTGGTGATTCCTCATCTAGTCACTTCTGCATGTGTAAACACACAGATCTTCAAGTAAAGTACTTGTTATTGTCTGATTTTAGTCAGAACTGGAATGTATCATCAGCTTAAACTCCAAGATATCAAATTTCATACAAGAGGCAAAGAGCATTTTTGCAGCTTTTGGTTTGAATGCAGCTAGAAAATGATATGTTTACATTTGCATAAAGAATATTGGTGTAGTTGTACAAAGTGATACATTTTCTTCTGTGTGTGATGGGTAGATCTATTTGTAACTTATAATTTTTTTAGGTGAACCCTTTTGTATTATGTGAAATTTATATAATAGTATGAATTGTACTTTATAATATGTATTGTACAGTTTGTCCACAAAGTCCCTTCAGGGTTTTGAAAAATTGTGGCGCGCAAACAAATTGAGCTAGCCACATGCGGTTTGCGGCAGATTGCAGTGAAATTCTGGAAGATGGTGCTCCACCTCATTGGGGTCTGCAGGTACGCGCGTACCTAGACAGGACATTTCCAGGAAGATGGGTCAGCAGAGACGGTCTAATGCCTTGGCCTCCACGTTCACCAGACAACATCACTGGATTTTTTCCTGTGGGGTTATGTCAAGAGCAGTGTGTTCCGAACACCAGTTAATGGACTTGATGACCGAAGACCCGTATCAGGAATGCGATCTCGGCTATTCCAGCGGACATGCTCCACAGAACATGGCAAGAGCTCGAATATCGTCTGGACGTTCTCCGTGCTACCAAGGGAGCCCACATCGAGGTCTACTGACGTCAGTAAAAATCTTCCAGAGTTTCACTGTAATCTGCAGCAAACCGCATGTGGCTAGCTCAATTTGATAGCGCGCCACAATTTTTCAAAACCCTGAAGAGACTTTGTGGACAAACTGTATTATTATTATGACTTTTTCCACATCCTATTGTCAGCTGACTGTCTTATGGATCCGTGGAATGTAATAAAATATGTATGTATTTGCAGGCACCAGATCCAGCACTATACTCAGCAGCTGGCTAAGGATACAAGTGCTAATCTTAAGGAACTGACAGGCCTTCCTCTCCCATCCTATGCTTCAGAACAGGTAAGTGGGCAACAATTACATGTGATGTGGAAGTACTTTAATTTAAAATTAATGTAACTAGGATTTGAGGTTTTCATGGCAGTGAGTCCAAAGATGGCTATCTTCTGAGTTGTAACATCATATAGTCTGATAGAAGTTTTCCAGCATTTCAGATGATTGTCCTGATGATGGAGGCAGCAAGGACCTCTGAAATGTTGGTAAACTTCTACTAGACTACACAGCACTACAATCCAGAATACAGCCATGTACTTTGAATTTGTTATTTATGGGTCACTTAATGTACTGTAGGTAAGGGAATTTAACCAGAGGTCTTACTATGCCCAGTACTTGTATTTTGCCTGTTATCAGAAAGCCTTCAGATCTCTGTGTCGTTTTTATGTTTTAATTGTCTGTTATCTTATTATTTGAATTTGACATTCTTTCTTCCCAAGTACCCATGCCCCACATCCTAATTATGAAATTTCTGATAAGAAAACATATTCTGATGCGGTGATCAGTTGCAAGTTAGATTTGCTTACAATTTTAAGAATTACCAGGTATAAATGAACATTTTCAAGAGTGTTGGCGATTTCTTGTAATATATTCGTTTCAGTGATACTTTTCAGACTGGATACCTCGGTGTATAACCGCTCCATCTGCTTGGAGAAAAGTTCTGATGTACACTGGCAACTAGCCATAAACAAAACTTTAATATATTTTATTGTAAATTATCAGAAACTTAAGTTACTCTACCATTAATATGCTACATCATAGAGTCATTGCTACAGTCATTTGTGTCAAGTCCATCTTGAACTGAAGAGAAGTCATTAAATAATAATTATGAGGTTTGTGGTGATTAAGTCATAAACAGTGACATTACTTTCATTAATTAATGTGGATAACTCCGATAAATATTTAATTTTGACAGAAGAGGAGCTTTGGTATTGTGGCTATTTACCTTATTCATTTTACTTTGAAACCTTTGCATAAATCATTACAATATTTATTTTTTATGTTGTTTGAATATTTGTAAATTATGAATAGAAATACTGACTATTTTCACATAAGTACAGCTCACATACACAGACATCCAGTCATACAGGGCCCCAGAAATGCTACTATAGAGTGTACAACAGGTGAAAATCTTTACCTGTAATATTTCTTCATTACAGCCTGATTTTCCATCCCAAAGGACTGATGAATAGACCATAATGTCTGCATTGGTTTGCTACTTATTTCATATGTTTCACCCATCATTATAACTACTTCTGGCTCTTTATAAAGTTTGTGAGAAATATGTTGTTACTAAAAAAAATTAGCAAGTTTAACCTGAAAGTAATGTAAATTGCTTTCAGTATGATTTGGAGAACAGAAATGGAAAATTTGGCTTTATACAAGTGAAAGCCCATAGGACATAGAGTTTTTCCTAATGTCAGATTGACCACCCAAGGAATACATGCTTAGTTTCTTTAGTCATTTTGATTGATTCTTAGGTTGTATGTTGCTTGTGATTGCATAGGTTGCACAGTGTTCATTGGTAATATGATTGGGTAATGAATTTGAAATGATATGGAAGGAAACAACTGTATCTTATTTAGAGGTACTAGTGCAATATTTGCCTGAAGGAACTGAGTGAAATTACAGAAAACATTGTCTCTTTTACAAACCTGTAGGCAAATATTCAAACTTGAAACCTCCTAAATATGGAGCAGGTGTACGAGTCCCTCATCCATGATGTTCTGTCTGTCATTTTGACTTTGCAACATTGCATACTTTTTCTGCCCACTGTTGCAGAACAGAACTCAAGTTCCCTCGTTCAGTCAATAAATTTTGATGTGATCCTTTTGTGAACTTTATTATTATTGTCATACATTTAAGAATAATTTTTTTTACTATGTTTACTATGCTTTGGTATGAATATAAAACCTGGTCACTCACATTAAGGGAAGAATATAGATTGAGGATATACACAAAATATCATCCTCAGATTTTCCACTTTAATAAATTCCATTTACATTTGTTCAGGTGCATGAACCACTTCTGAAGAAAAGGGATTCTGAAGATGATGTAAGTCCTGAAGTTTACATGTAAAATGTTAAATTGTTCTGTCAGTGATTTGTTTTTTAGAGGGCTTTGGGAAATGTGTTTTTGTCATTTTGTAATGAGCCCTTAAATTACAATAATTTTATTTATGTGACAACTGTACATCATATATTAAATTATATTGAAAGTCCCCTTTGATATTTTAGTTTTATACAGTAGTGAATCTTCATGAGATTCATATTTTGTGTGGCATAATTCATTTATAGAATATGAATCATTCTTTTAGATAATTGATAAGTTTGGTTACAGCTTCAGGTAAAGTAGGGGTTGTGTGGACCAAGTCAAAATTGGCCAACAATTTTTCATGTAGACTGACAAAACCAAATTTGATCAAAGTATAATATTTTTTTAAAAATCTGGGCCCGATATGATTAGCAATATGCATTGTATGTATAAACAAATTAGGTCAAAGCAAATTCGAAGTACTTAACAACATGTACATAAATATATAATTACTTTACATACATGAATGTTTTACTAAAAGATGTGGGGCTCAAGGCTTAAATTCATATTTTATATCAATGTTTTCATCTACTTATGAACCTTCTTTAATTGGAGTGGTTGAAGATAATATAACTGCAGATCTTATCTGACAGCATAATTCAGTTCATTGTCAAATCTTAACAACACTTTCAGTTGCAAGTTATAGCTAAGTTAAAGGTCTAGTTCATTGTTAACATTTACTTATTCTGCTGTGGTTCATCCAGAACTAAGAATAGATTTATCTTATGAACTTTTGCTTTACATACATACATCTTTATTACATTCCATGGATCCATGTTAGTCAGATGACAGTAGGATGTAGAATAAGTCATAATAATACAATACATGTTATACAAATACAAGTCATACTATTATATAAATGTCACAAAATACAAACAAAGGGTTCACATAAATTAGAGATAAGTTACAAATAAATCCACCCATTATCTACAATAGATAAATTACGACTTACTTGTAAACATTAGAAATTCATCGACAGAGTAAAAGGAGTGTGTAATTAAGTATCTGTTTAATGCTAGTTTAAATTGTGCCTTTCTATTTACAAGACTTGTGAGGTTTGATGGTAGACTGTTGAAAATTTTGATCCCTGCATAATGTGCACTCTTCTGAAAACATGAAAGGTTGGCAATTGGTGTCATGACCTGAAGTCAAGTGTTTTGTTTCTGTTCCCCACACTGAGCTGAAGGTAGTTACATTTCTTTTACAGGCATAATTTACTCATGTGGATGAAAGTTTTAAATTGTACAACAACAATAATTCAATTGAATTCAGTTATTCATTTTAACATACTGATTCAATGGCTGCAGGAGTCAGTTACAGAGTCAGCACAAGAAGATAAATCATCAGTAAACAGTAAAACTACTGAAAACAAAACAAAACTAAATACATGTAATCAATCTAAACACTTTCTTATATCAAGAAAGTGTCCTGAAAAGAGACATCGTTTTTACCAGAAATGTGCATTCACTTTCTGTCATAAGAAATCCTGTATTGTCATTGTCAGCTGAAGTTTCCACCAAGGTGGGTCATTGTATGACAAAGCCTTTTCCATTCTTTTGTTGAAGTTGCTCCTCCTTTTTCAGGAGGTGTATTAACCCTTTAAACCCAGTGGTTTCTATATGTCCTACCTTGAACATTCAGTAACACTTCATTTTGTATTTATTTTGTATGATTCTCAGTATGAACTGGGGATTATTTCCTTAAACAGCATTAACCAGTTGATCTTCTTTATGGTGAAGAGGTGTGTTTTCTTTAAAGTATGAACAGAATTCATAAATATTATTTTGATGAGCTCTGTATTCAAAGGGTTATTGCATTTGCTAGCTCAAGAGATAAAACATAAATGTGAACTCTTAGGTTGTGGTCAGAATTGACAGGGTGCATTACTTAATGAGGGCATTGACACTGAGTTAACTGATCACCACATTTGTAGAAGTTTTATTTATTCACAAAATAGTACTTATTCTTTAGACTTTAAAATATGCTCGACATTGAAATGACTGTTTCTCAATGTGGTGTTCTACTTATCTAAATAATCTGCATCTCCCAATTCATAATTAATGATTATTGTAAATTTTACCAAGGCATATATATATGTTTATGAACTCCCACTGTCCAGACAGAATGATTGGTCTTTCCTAAAGGTCAACACAGGAGTGCCTGTTGTGTCCAACATTCTAATAAAGTAAGTTCAGACTTTCCACTTCAGCCCTACTGACCTCTGAAAAGGCTCAAGCAAGACTTAAATTCTGAGAAAAAGGAACTTGTGTATTCTTGGGAGTGTTAGTCCCTGACAATTTTGGCTTTTCTCACACCTGGGAGTCTAGTATGAAAGAATTTTTGTTGGATCTGTATCAAGGATGGCCCCATGACAGGCTTTTGTGAGCTTGGTGTAAGGTTTAAAAGTTAGAAATGAATTTGTGTTTCTGAATGCATATTCAGGAAAATACATGCAGACTGTCAACAGATTTGGGGATAGGAAGTAAGATTCTTAGACAGTGCCTCCAGAATGTCATTGTTCTGGCCTGGTTCAAATTCCCATCAGTATAATTAATATACATGTGATCTGTTGCACTGTCTTACTATAAGAATTCCTCTTGTAGCTTTCCCTATTTTCTGTTATCTTTTGTAACCTCTCACCCACTCTCCCCATTGGTCTTTTTGTTCAACATCTTCATTTATGAAACTGTCAAAGGAATCTTAACCATGTCTGCACCAATGTATCCTTAATTTCACAGAAATTTCCTGCAGTGTTTCTGTCTAATGTCCTGTTTTAAGATGTTATCCTTTCTTATTAGCTTCCAAATAATAAGTAGAAATTTCCTATACATTAGTAGTTGATGTTCAAATGTTAACATTGAACTGTAACTTTGCGGGAAGTATTTAAAGAATGCAGTGAGTTTTTTTAATATGTATTGCTGCACTGATCTCCACTTGTGTTTACTGAAAAAGTTGGTGCAATGGGAACACTTATGTTCAGGAGGTAGCTAATTCAAATCTTGGCCAAGCTACCGGGTATCCTGGATGAGGGTTTTCATCAGTTTTCCCAGGCTAATGACATTATAGTATATTCATATAGGCTATAATAACCTTCCAAATCCTTAGTTATTAAGAAAAAGAAAGAAAATTTACTGCTTTAAAAATGATAGAATAGATGTCTGTTTGGTTTTCTTCTTTTCTTATGATAAGTTATAGTATGGCTCTAGAACTGTATCAGTTCCTCTCTTAATGGTTGAGCCGCTTCCAGTTGCTACAGAAGATCTCACATCCCTTATTAATAAGAGCAATAGCCTTGGGAGTAGGACCAATCAGACTTAACCTTTCGACGTCCTATTCTCTAGACACCAGTGCATATTTGTGAGCTCTTAGTCCATGGTTAATGTAATTTGCTTTATCTTGTCTCATTTTATATTCTGTTTTTTGTTTAATTATTTAAATTTTAGGCCATAATTTGTCATTTAGTATTATAGTGTTATCACAATGTTGGGACCATCTGTGTCTAGGAAGTCGGGCAGAGTCATGACTCATCACCCCCTCCAGTCGTGATCTATGAGAGGCCCAAAAGTGAAGCGGGCATAAATTGAAGCGGCTACCTGTATTTAGTTCAAGAAATACTGTTAAATAAACCTAAGACTTGATCACCCATTCAGTTTTCATTACAGATACTAATAATCATTTCTGTTCCTGTACAGAGACAATGGAAGATGCAGAAGGACCGATTGGCTGATGAGTTTACTACAGCCCTCAACATGTTCCAGGCAACTCAGAGAAGAGCAGCTCAGAAAGAGAAGGAACAGATTCAAAGAGTAAGGGCAAACTCTGGCCTAGGAGATCCATTTGGAGGTATGTTTATAGCCAAACTGCAAGTCACAGTCTTGCTTAGTTTTAGAATTTGTATGGGTGCAAAACATGGTCTCTTACTCTGAAGGAGGAGCATAGATTGCAAGTGTTTGAGAATAGGGTGTTAAGGAGGATATTTGGGCCTAGGAGAGAATGGAGAAAACTGCATAATGCTGAGCTTAAAAATTTGCACTCCTCTTCTAGCTTTGCAAGGGTCATTAAGTCGAGAAGAATGAGATGGGCGGGTCATGTGGCGTGCATGGAGGGGGCAAGATGTGTTCACTGAGTATTGATCAGGAAGCCTGAGGGGAAGAGACTGCTGGGGAGACCTAGACGTAGATGGGAGGATAATCTTAGGCAGTATCTGTCAGAGATAGGAGTTGAAGGAGACTGGATTTTGTTGGCCCAGGACAGGGTCCGGTGGAGGGCTTTGGTTAATTCGGTAATGAACCTTCGGGTTCCATAAGCCATCTAATTAGTTAGTTAGATTTAGAATGCATGTATCTTTCTAGCTGGTCTCTGTATCAACTGAGCTATCTCAACTGGTGTAACTATGAGTAAAGGTGGAACAGTTCCTGTTAGCCTCACAGGAAAGGTAGAAACATATGAAGGAAAGTAGATATCATAACTTTTTTCCAGAACATCTTGGTTTTTATAGTACTGCAAAAACCCAACTTGGTGCTGGTGACTTGCCCATATTAAACTTGACCTTGAAAGGATAATCCAAAGTTGGTGTATGTATTCTGACAGGCAGCAGGTACAGTGAACAGTTGATTGAGCTTCAAGACAACGGTAGGCAGCAGGATGTACAGGTGATGGACGAGATGAATCTTCAGTTGTTAGAAGAACAAGAGCAAGCTATTCGGCAATTGGAGGTATGAATAACCACCTCACTGTTGTGGTTAAAAATATTGTGAACAAAAGTATCCCCATGCACAAATATCACAGTAATTATGTTACAACAAAACATAACACAGTAACATATTTTGGCATGGTTTTGTTCTTTGAACAGCATGATTATAAAAAAATTTATCTGAGTCACAATTTTATTTTGTTAAATATTTGATGTATCAATGTTTTGTAAAGTTGTGAATATTAATGGGATATGATGTATGTTTTATATAACATTTTTATCCTGTCAGCTGTTTGTTAATGAAGTTTTATGTGAGCTTAGTATAAAGTAAGGGTTATATTGGACCAGTATAAATTATATTTGTCTTTCTGCAAATGCTCATAATGTAATCCTTACCAAATTTCCTCCAAAGTCTTTGCATTCTTTTGAATTAAAACTTCAACCAGTAATCACAGTTCCACAATTACATGTTCAGTTTGTGTGATTTGATCGAAACATAAAATAGTGTGGACATTATTTATTAGAAGATAACAGTATAACTCATTGCTGTATTTCTGAACTCTGTGCATTTTCTAGTATTTGTCAAAGAGCACATTGCTTCAAAAACTGGATGTGTTTCCATCCTCGGGTGAAAATGTGTGGAGTACTTCAGTCATATGTGTCACCTAAAGGATGGGTGCTTGTATACTTGGCCCATATCATTTGTATAGATCAGTTCTAAATGGTTCTGATTTGACATATCAGTATTTCTGGATTTCTGGTTGAAACCTGGTTTTCACCTGAGGACAGAAAGAGACCCATTTTCCAAAATGTTGGTTCCTTTTAAAAATATCAAACAATTTAACAAAGTCTAGAAATACAGCAATATTAATTGCAATATTGTCAGAACCCAATAGAACTGAACTTAATTGAAACACTTTGTTCATACATATGTGAATTATGCCTTTTCCTCAAAGAAAGAGGCCCCATTTGACAACCGTACACAGACATTATAATATGTTTCATACTATAAAGTTGTATTGGGCTTTCTTAGAATTCCTAGGCCCAATCAGCTGTTCTGCAGCACCAACTTTATCTAATGTGCTCAGTGTGAAGTGATAACACTGGTAGGGCACATAAAAAGAAATGCAATTTTTTTATTTCAGAGTGACATCAGTGATGTGAACCAGATTTTCAAAGAACTTGGTGCCATGGTTCATGAGCAGGGTGAAGTAATTGACAGTATTGAAGCAAGTGTAGAGAAGACGGAAGTGTTTGTTGGTGAAGGAGCAAGCCAACTTCGACAAGCCAGTAATTATCAGGTAACTACAATTTATCTTGTATGTAGACTGTTTCATATCTTTATGCTATAGCATATTTTATTGCTTAATTTATGCTGCCACATAATTCATGTACCAAAATTTTTTATTGTGAATCTAAGAAAAATGAAAATCTTCATGTATATCCTGTTTTGGGATAAAGACAGATGGCAAGAATTTCCAAATGTTCACAATACAACACACACCAACAGTGTCATTGGCAATGGCATCAACACTGGCATTGGACAGCCATGAAAGCCTGAAGTAATGTGTGTAATCCTTGTGTATTTGATGCATTTCATTCTTATGTGTGAAAGATAACATTATCAAAACTTTTTTTTTTTGTCGCCAAAGTCTGAAATGGATAGCAGCACATACAAAATCTGAAGTAATTGAGGAATATGTACTTTCTGTCACTGCTACACTTCACATGATGGGTGGTATGATATTGCAGTCAGGCATATGCAAGATGTGTGGTGCTGTGCTGTACTAAAATAAATTGATCAGAGTGACATGAGGATTGAAGGAATATGTTAAGAGCTTAAATATAAAAATGTTACCCTTATTTGTGGAGAAATCCTGTTTGTTCCTGTACAGTTTTTCAAAGATGATTTTCAGGTTTACATACAGACCATATAGACTGAAACTGGAGCTGTTAATATTGGACATGCTCTATGGCCGTAAGATCTATAATCACCTTTGTCATCATTATATGATGGCCTAGAGTTAAACACGAACTGCAGGGGTTGGTGTGTAGTTTCCAAAATCCAGGCAGGAATCTGTAGAATCTATAGACTCAGTTGTAATGAGCAGCGGAAGCCCAGATATGTCTTGAAACATGACAAGGAACCCATCTTATAGATGGGGATTGATAAAGTGATACCAAAGTGTGTAGTTAAAACATTCACAGTTAGATATTCTGATACAAGTGACTGGGAAATTGGTTTCAGCCATGGATAGAAATGGAAAACTAGTCTGGTATATATATGTTCCAAGACAAATGAAGACACTGGTGCATTGGTATATGAGAGTGATACAAGGAAAAGGTTTAGCTACAGCTGTGGTTAATAAACTATTATATTCCATGCAGAAGTGTATACCATTGAACCATGTGCAATCAAGAATATTGATGGAGGCTTTAAAAAAATAGGACAGTCACTTGACAAATACCAGATTAACTCCAAGTTTAAGTATAGTATTATGCATACAGCATTTAATTTTTGTAAACATATTAGAACAGTCAACAGTCATATCTTTCTTTCCTGCCTTTAATCCTTGTACATTCAGCTTTATACCTAAACAGCTTACCCACTCAGGTTGAGTTGCTGCAGCATATAAAAAAAACGTCAGTGTGGCTTATTATCTTATGTTCACATTATAAGTATCTGTGTCACTTAAAACTGTAACAACTCTAGATGCTAATCAAAAATTTTTTTTGGGGGGGGGGGGAATTAGTGCTTCTCTGGAAAAATCTGTACTAGTAGTTAATAATGTAGGCAGATGATGCACTGATATACAAAGTTTTGTTGCAATCACAACCTAAAGTGGAAGGGTTGGACACTCCTCTCATGAAGTCCGCCAGCCAGCTCATAACGTATAACTTTGCTTAATGGCTATTCTGTTTAGAAAACTTACTGTGTATGCCACAGGAGAGATGTTTGAACTTTTTGTACCCAAACAGAGATCTGTATTGTGACCATTAAATTTATAAGATGTATAGCAGCAACTACGTTTGGTCCTAGAGTAGTGATTTTGTAAGTTTATACTTTTAAAATGAATATGTATTTTCTTCAATTTCTTTTTGTATATTTTTAGTTCATTTCTTTCCTGCCAACTTTTATTTTGTTTGCAGACCAAACTTCGGAAGAAGAAGTGTATCCTAGCAATTTGTCTCACTGTCCTTTTGGCTGTGATTATTGGTATAATTATTTGGCAGGTCTCAGATTGAATACATGTAAGTAGCTGTTTTTGTTTCACATTGTTGATTGCTGTTGCACTTCCAATTAATCTAAAGTTCTGGTTTGCTACTTATCTCAGTTCCTTTTATTATAAGTTAATTTTAATTTATCACTAGCATTATCATTATATTTATTTGTTATGCAATAATAAAATTTTATTACCATCACATGAGTTAAGCACCTGAAGGAATACATCTATCAGGACCATATCCACAAGTGTTTTTGAAAGTAAATTTTAATTTGTTCATATGATGGGTATAATATACTTTGATTGATATACTTCCCATTTTATCTGTTTCCTTGCTTCATCCTCTCCAAATACCACAAAAGATAACATTTACAAGGTTGCATACTTCAATATACGAGGTGCGATCGGAAAGTTTCAAGACTGCGCCTATAAAAACCTGTACACTTATCTCAGGTATTAAATTCATCCATCACCCTCGAAGTAGTTCCCCTGGGAGTGAACACAACAATCCCAGCGCTGCTGCCAAGCCTGGAAGCATCCCTGGACAGAGGTTCGGTCATTTTTAAAACGTGAATGCCACACAAAAGTTTGCGGACTCCCCAAATGTTTGCTTTAGCATTTCATAGGTTTCCGTAGCCGTTTTGGCGAGTCTTTGGCAAAATTTGATGCACACTCTTTGTTCATGAAAATCCGCCATTCCGAAATCGCAGGAGGGTCGGTGTAATGCACTACCAAAACGCCCGTTAACTAAGAAACAAATGCTAATTCGATGATGCCGGCTGGCACACTGATTCACTATGAATGTAGGCCGCACCCCCTAGCGGCAGAAGCTCGTACTACATCCGGTTCGCCCTCTGTTGACACAGTCTTGAAACTTTCCGATCGCACCTCGTACAGTGCATTTACTGATAAAGTTGAACACAGTTGTCACTTCCTGGCCTGACAGGTACTGCAATGATCTAGTGAAGTTGATGTCATTCTTATGAAGTAATAATTGACTTGTAGAGCCTGGTGGTGAGTCATGTATTTCCAGCTGGGAGTTGGGAAGTGACACTTGTGCCAACTTTGTCATTGAATGCACTGTGTATCTCTACTTAAAATTTCAAGGCCCTTCATTAACTTTTTGCTCTGTGATAATCATTACATTGATATGAACATTTTCTTTTATGGTTTTGTGTGTTGAGGCCACTGTTGCAAATAAAATTGTTTCATCCTCACAAAAAAGTAAGCTTGGTCACTGGTTGCATGCTGTCATATGCTTGTGACTTAATGGTGTTTGTGAAATAAACATTTTGTACACCAAGGGGAAATTTTGTGTAGAAGGTTAGATTGAACTTTTATCACTCCTATTTCAGAAATTTGACATGTTGTTATTTGTATTTGTGTTAAGAAAACAAAATTGTGTAAATTGTAGATTTATTAATTGCAGTTGGGCTTGACTGTAATTTTTCCCTCCATCGGCATGATGTTCATATCAAGTTTCTTGAAGGTCTAGATTTAGTTATGATATATCAGGAGTAGATCAACACACTTGGCCATGATGATACCAAAAGCCATTCCTTATTATGCAAGCATAGTGGGCATATACTGTATTATGGAACAAATGTCAGTGGTTGGTTGGGTAAGTGTTTGGCCGTTTGTTTTATTTCTGGGGACAGACATTTATGACAACACTGGTAATTTTTTTTAAAATTAAGCAGTCGATTTACATTGCAGAAATTAACTGGTACAATAAAATAATAATATCACTGAGCAAAGGAAAAGCATATGGATTACATTCATGTGCATATCTGCTAATGAAGGAATGTTTTGTCTCCAAACAGAAGAAGAAATGGATAAATATTTTTTTAGAACCCGTATGAAATTTTAACTGTATCTGAATGAAGAAGTATTTTTACGTCAAGATGGCTAACCTTTTAATACGAAAAAATGTCTATATGGCAATTTAGTTGTTAATTGTTTGTTTTGTATAGTGGTACATTAAACAAGGGTTATTATAATGCCCTAATTTTAATCGATGACACATGAGCCATTTTACAGGAAAACTTGAGATACATATCCAACAATAAGCTAAACCTATTCACATATACAGTAAGCTGCCTACATTTCACTCAGTGTTCATTTTTGGTAATTGGAAATGTGATGTCTTGATAGTAATCTAATAACATCTTGTTTCTTACCTAGATTGGTCATCGCAAAAGGAAGGCCCTTATGCTAGGAATTGTCAGTGTAATATGTGGAGCTGTCTTACTCATCATATGGATCAAGATACAAACCATATAAAACAGTCGCTAGTCACTTGTGAGTAAATGCAGCCAACATATATTCAGCTTCTGATGAAGACCGCTGGTTGTGTGTTGTGCAGGTGTGCAAGTACTGTGTAAACTGACACAAATGTACTTTCTAAATGTATCACAACCTTATATAACATTTATTTTGAAGGACCTATATGATTATCTTCTTGCTTGTATATAGTCACTTGCATATATGGTAGACACTTGAGAATAT